GAGGGCGGTGCGGGGCCGCCCCCGGGGGCCGCAGCCAATGGTCCGGGCGGGACGGGGCGGGCACCGGGCAGGTGTTGGCCCCGCCGCCGGCGGGGGCCGAGCCGAGCCTCGGGGAAGGACCCGAGGGCTGCTCCCGCGGGGCCGCCGCGCCGCCCGCCCGGTGCCGTAGTACGAGCGCTGGTGCTGATGCTGATGCTGATGCAACGGGCCGTTCCCGGCTTCTCTCCGGAGCGTTTTCCCGTGCCGCGCTCCCCGCGGGTCCGGCCGGTGCTCCGGAGGGAAGCGGTGCAAAGAGCTGTGCGGCTGATCCACGGCCCGCGCCCGGTCCGGGCAGATCGGAGGCGGCGGGGCTGAGGAAGGCGCTGTGCCGGGGGGTGATTCCCGGACCCACCACGTTTGTCTGTCCTTGCTATGCCTCACGGCTGGGGACTGCGGTGCAGGTTGGGACGAGCCTCCGCCCCGCCCCGCTGGGACACAGCCCGGCAGGGAGCAGGCTTCGCTACAGGTTAATAAAGGTTAATAATCTTCTGGGAAGAGGCAATGATTTGCGGAGGAGCGGGATGGATCCCGCACGGCCCTCGGGGACTCCCTCCCCCTGCCAGGGGTCAGGAGCACCTGTCCAGACATGCAGGGAAGATTTCAAGCAGCAACCCCCCAGCAAGCTGCCCTCTGTTCTCTTCCCTCCTCCCTTCCCCTTGACTCCTTCCCACGGGCAGTGTGGGTCAAACGGCCCTGTTGAGGCACACGGTCTGTTTGGTTTCCCCGTTCCCAGAGGAACGTGTGTCCATGGGAAGGTGTTCAAGCCTTGCTAGTGGGTGCTGGGGCAGTGGTGAGCAGAGCTGTACCAGTCCCCCCAGCCTGGCAGCTAGAAAGCTCAGCCCGGGCTTCCAGCTCATCCCATCCCTCGGCTCACGTGGGGGTTTCCCTGCTGGAAGGGCTCAGGGCACGGGTCCAGCCACCTGCTGCAGGAGCAGCACTCAGCTCTGGGCCAAGACAGCTGCTGGCGGCAAGGCTGCAGGAGGAGGAGGAACAGGTCCTGCTGGGAATGCCTCCTCTGGCCCTGCCACTCGGAAAAGCACCGTGTGCTGGGCCACTTGTGACTCAGCCCCTGCTGACCACGCGCTACTCTTTAGCCACAACCACATGAAATGCAGAAGTGGGAGCAAAGCTTTCCACTGGCACGGCTGCAGCACTGAGCTCACTGTCAGCCTTTCCTCAGGGCAGGAACAGCTTGGAAAGCCTGTCCTGCCAGCCACGCGCATCCTGCCCAGACCAGACGCATTTGCAAACTCTTCCCCTGCAGCCACATGCTCTGGAGCTGGATCATCCCTCCTTTGCTGAGGAATTGCCCGTGGCTTTCAGCAGGTGTTTATCTATAAAACTCATCCCTGGATCGGCCTGAAGTTCAGGGGGAAATGTGCCCCTGAAGGCCTTGGGAGATGCAAATGGCAGAGTTCAGGTCCCGCCCTTTTCTCTCAGGGGTCCAGAGGCGCAGCACGCCCTGGGGCAGGGGCAGCAGCCCGGCTGCTGTGCAGGTGCCTCCCCCACGCTCCTCCACCTGCCACGGATGTGGTTACACTGGGGACACTCATACAAGGAACCCAGGGAGGTGGTTTTCTTTCAAGAAGCAAAGCCTGCTCCTCTGTTCTTTCTGAAATGGTAATAATCAGATCTGTTCCAATCACTGCATGTGGAAAAAACTCGTCTGTGCAAGGGAAAAACTGAGACCAAGTGATCTGACCTGCCTGTGCCTGTGAGCCAGGTTGCTATAGGACAGAGAGCAGGACACAGAGGGGAGGGGAAGCTCTGCAATGGTTCATGGGCTGGAAGTGGCAGTGGTTTCTCAGCTGTCCCACCCTGCACTGAAGCACAGTGTTCTGGCAGCAGCTGAGCCTTAGGGCAGTCAGAGTAGACCGGCCACCACCCTGTGGTACAGCTCCAATCCCAGACCCACATGTTCTGGCCCAAGGAGCTCACATGTACACTCCAAACACCTCCAGAGCAACAGGTCTGCTACAAATTCTTCTTATTACTTTCTTTGGCCCCATGGCTCCATGAAGCATCTTGAATATCTGGCTGTAGAGCAGAGCACGTGGCACCAAGGGAGGCTGTGGTGGGGCGAAGGGAAGCTCTGACCATGAGGTGTGGGGATGGGGTGTGAAACCTCACTGCAAGGCTGGAGAAGCTCCTCGGAACCCACCGCAGCCACTGAGCCCGGTGGAGGAGGCCGGGGCTGAGCACAGGGCCGGGAGGAGGGAGCCTCGCTCTCTCCAAGATGCAAGACCTCCCTCTGCTGTCAGCGCTCACCGAGCGGCCTCTGCTGCAGCGGGGCGGGGAGGCTCATCCCGTGCACTCGGGCTGGGGAAGGGACCGTCACTCATGGGGGACTAAAGCAGCTCCCAGAAGCTCCACTGAATTCTTTGTTTAAACTGAAACGTCTGAGTCCCGGGTAAAGACAGAATAAATGTGAGAACTAGAAGAGAGACCCAAGTCTGTAGCAATGACACTAATTTCTCACTAAGTGTTGAGTATTTTCTGGAGTTCTGGGGAAGGAAAGGCAAGGTTTCAACAGTCCTCATTTTTCCTCATTTGTTTTTCCATGACTTAACACAGCCTTGGTTGATAAATCCTTCCTGCGTTGGTCTCACCAGTATCTGTCCAGGATAGCTGGGCAAGGGCCTTGAAGGAAATTTGCTATTCTCTTGTCAATCAGGTGACAAGAGGACCTGGAATATACCACCAAGGTTTTATTATGGATGGGATCCTTGACAAGATCTCATCCCCACAGCATAAGGAGACCGTGGGGATTTCCACTGTAGTTCCAGATGAAGCAATGCTGTGCGTTAGGCAATTAATGCCTGACAACAATTTATCAGACCTATTGAGACCAGTCATTCGCTGGAGAAAGATGCACTTAATAAAATAGCTCAGCTGCTAGCCTGTCTCCTCCCATCCTGTCTCTCTGTGCTAATTGTCCTCCTAAGGCTGACTCCTTGTGCCAGACATGGGGAATTTCACAGGTCCGAGCTGGCCCGATTGCATTATCACCCACAATGGGCGCTCGGGATTTGCGGCTGCACGATCAGGTGCTGACGAGGCGAGAGCAGAGCACTTCGCTCTTCCGCAGGGACACTTCAAGGGTTTGGAAGCCCAAACCGGCTTGTTCCATACTAAGGATTTTTTAATCACCCAAATGAGGCGAGTCGAGGCCGTGCACAGCACACACGCCCCTCTCAGCGGAACGGCTTTACATCAACGCGAGTATCACCAGCAAGGTGGACCCCAGCGAGTGCAAACACGTCTGTGTGTGTCGATGGAGTCAGCAGTGTGGAGGCACAAGGCTCCTCAGCAGTGTGGAGGTACAATCCACGCTGCTGTTGCTCACTCCTCACTCCTGGAACCAAACCTCAAGTACAACCAGCACGCATTTTCCAGCCAGTACTCTGCTCTAGCCGCTACTCAGCTGCAGTGGTCTCCACAGAAAAGCCCTGCTGGGCTCTCGAGGGGTTGTTTCCATGGATTACAGGAGGATCCCACCCAAGGCTGCACCTGCAGTGCTCTGGCCAGCTCAAGCACAACTTGATCCACACTCAGTCTGAACTGTTTTTCATAACCTCCATGGTCCACTCTTTGAAAGACTGTAAATAAAGTTGCAACTAACCAGTACAAAATATTTAATGGATGCCAAAAGTTGAAGTTCCTGCATTTCTCAACATCCACTGTGCTCTCTGCAGAGCTATGCAGCTGGCAAGAAGAGTTTTTGGGGAGGTCTTCCATGAGGAAGAAATGACAAGAGGTGACGCAAAGATAGGATTTTATAAATTAAATGGCCTTTATTTGTAACTTGTCTCCAAAAGTCAAAAACATGACAAAGTAATTGCTCGGAAGCTCTAACTGCTCCTTAAACATTTTACCAGAATTGCATGGAAGTGCACTTAGAACAGTAGCAGGAATCTGGATTCCTGGAATGGGCATCACCAAACTGCGCTCTAGCCAGAACCCAGAGATCCCCATCCAAACCCCTGTAAATTGTCATCTGTTTGCAGGTCAAGCATTAAAATTACCCCCCAAACACAGTTCCTTTCCCACAGAATCATGAGATCCCACAATTCCCACCCTCAGGACTGAGCTTCCCAGTCTCCATGCAGGTACTTGGGGATGGGTCTGTAACAGCCCATACCAAGGGGAAAACACACTAAACCCAAGTTCAACTGATGCATCTTAGAGGTCTGGCTGGATGCAAAGTTTGATCAGAGGTTTTAGGCGAGGTGGTTTCATTATTTTCAGGGTAAGGCTACGCTGCAGTCTGCAGAGCGTGATGAGTAAGGTTACTGCTCAAATAAATTAATTAGTGCTCAATTCTGGGGTGGTGCAGGTCCACTGCTCCAATTGCAATGCTTATTAGACATCTCAACACTAAAGTGATTTATGAGTTCTGCTCGGGTGTTACACCTCAGCAGCTTGTCTGAAGTTACTGAAAACATCGAATTAAAATTAAGGAATCTCTGTGCTAAAAGTGTAGGCTTGAAAACAGAGTTTCCACTGACCACAGACTGGAATTGTCATCCCGTTTTCAGGGAATTTTTCTTGAAAGCTACACCTGACTCTATACACACATACTGCTAGATGGAAACCCATCCAAGTACAGCTTCAGCTGCTGTGGGAACATTTAGATGAAGAACAGGAATTCAAAATACCTGATTAAATCTCTGATGCAAAAAGAAAGTGCTATGCAAGTGCTATGAACTACTGGTAAGTTTTGCCACCACCTTGCCTTGAGAGATGGAAAACCCAGGAATATATATGAAAATTTTAGTTTCAATAGAAAGCAGAGGTATTGAAAAAAGCCTTCTGAATTCCCCTGTCAGCATAAGGCTTAGAATCACTAGAAAACCAGTTTCAAAGCCACCAATTTAATCATAAAGCCAGCAATTACGATTAATATTTGATAATATAGTTAAAAAATTACGCGTTTTAACTAAGACCAACAATAAAGTTCATTTTCCAGGCTAGAAATTTTATAGTAAGAGTAGGGAGGAAAGTAATCATCATGCATAGAACAGAAGTATTTTGGACTAGTTGTTTACACAGTGCAAAGATTTGTTTGAGGACTCATACTGAGGATATGTTTTCCATATAGATAGGAGGCTGCCTGTGAGGACTGAAACACTGGGAAACATTATGGAATCACAGGTATCAGAGGTCACTTTAAATGAGAGCTGGTCTGACAGTTACAGTTAGCACCTGGAAGTCTCACTAAAGGGAAACAGAGCTACAAATACACCTCACATACTATCACTTGGGATATGTAAATGAGATTGGGAAGAGATATTTATTAACTAGTTCAGGCCACTCCGTTTGGAATGTTCCTGTTTTTAGGCAGTCAGATGAACACAACTGCCAAAGAAACCAAGAAATGGGCATAGGGAAAGGAAAAATATTGAGTTCCCACATGGTGATCTACAATTAAGCTTTGTGTGAAGCAAGTAGAAAAATGAGGCTGACAGGGCTGAATGGCAGAGACCATGATACCAAAAGACTTGAGTGGTACAGAAATATCAAACCAGGATTTGAAACTGAGATAGGATTAAAGTCTTCCATATTTCTGGACGCCTGAGTTAATCTTGAGATGTGCAGGGAGAAGTGCAAGGATGCTGGGCATTTCCCCCTTGTGGAAGCTTGGTTTTACAGGTAATCTTCTAGTTGGATCATTTATCCCTCAAAGAACGCATCAAAACCTGTTCCATCATATCATCTTCATCAGCATCATAATCCTAGGAACAAAAGGGACAGAAACTCTTTTACTGCAACAGCCACACTGGTTTATACAAGAAATAACAGCAGCAAAAGCTGTCCTTCCCTTTGACTCTCCAATTCCTCCCAGGACACCAGGTGCAGGGTGGGGTTTCACAGCAGGGGACATGTCACACAGCCCGGGGTTTATGAGCCATCAGGCTGCATTCCAAGGGGGAGGATACACATACCACAAAGGTGTCATAGGAAAAGCGATGTCGCCTCTGCAGGTGCTCCATGAAGTTAGCACTCCTGTAATTCGGATCTCCCCATGGCATTGAGGCACAGATCGGGCAAACCTTCAAGAAAAACCCAAAAAAGCCAATTAGGCCCCAGTGGTTAAGTCCCTTTACATTGGCAGTAGGGAGGGCAGGGCAGGGCAGGGACAGGGTGGAGAGTTGAAGTTCAAGGTTTGTGCTGCCACTATTCTATATGCAAAGTGCTGCCCAATACCTTGCTGGGACATTTGATACAAAAGCCCCAGACAATTTTAACTGATGTCCTAGATCCCTGAAATAGAACAGCTTACTCTTCTCCCACACTCTGAAAATCAGAACTCACTACAGCTGCTTGCTTTAGAAGATTTCAGTCTTTATTTCAGTAACAGGAAGGTTTCCTTGGTCTCCTTTGCAAAGATGACTTCTCTCCAGGGGAAAAAAGGAACTTTTTTTTTCTGACTAATCTGGAATTCCAAAAAACTTGCCAGAAAAAATGAAAGTTTCAAATTCAGTTCCATGTTTTGCAATTCCTCTTACATAAGAGGAAGTATCACAGATAGATTACTAGAATGGTATACTATTTCTTGCAAGCGTTTTCCCCAATGGCTTATAGTACCTTCTTGCTGAAAACAGCACAGGGGAAAGTTAAATGTCCGACTTTTTAAAAATTATATTTTATTAATTTGCTGTGACAAATTAACTTTGAGTGTCTGCCACTTTTCAAATATGAAGGGAGGACGTGGCCCAGCTGCAGTCAGAGTAGAGACCAGTCACCTCCAGAGAATGCACTGAAAGCCAACAGTAGAATTATGTGAGAGTTAAAGGCATGACCAGCAGAGTCACACTGGACTTAACAAGAATAATTATATGCACTTAATTCAAGAGTAAGTCTCTAATTCACTGTTTCAAAGGGCTTTAAGACTAGACTTCGTTGCAATTCTCGCACCAAGACTCTTTATTACCACTTGTTTTGCATCCATGCTGTGCAGCGCTTTGCAGTGTTCAACCAGCCCTTCTTGGTCAAAGTTTTTCTCGCTGCAATACGGACAAGGAAAGGTGAAGCGATTTGGGAAGTTCCTGGTTGGGGGCAGGGGGAAGAAAAAGAGATTATTTACACATACAAATTATTCAAAGCAATAATCTTACTTATTCAATTAGGACAAGCTAATTTTAACAATCAGTTTGTAAGCTCCTAACAATAGCTTAAGGAACTCAACATTGTCCATATTTAGACTGAGCTACACTTTTTCTACGAATGTTCCAAGAGCCATTTATCACCTTCTCTTTAAATGCACAGGGTACCACACACATGAGTGCACTGCAACCAATTCCTACTTCCCCAACGATAGACAGAAAGATAGAAGCTTCTTTTAAAAACCCAGCAACACTGTACAGAATACCCTCATCTTAAAGATGTCCTGTGCATGGACTAGGCAGAAGCAGCACAGCTTGCCTGGGCACAGTCAGCTGCAGGATTAAGGCTCAGTTTTTAACTATACAAAAAATTAACACCCAAACTGAGCGAGGAGGTAAAGTCTGCTCATACTTTAAAACCTCCTTTTTGTGACAAAAAACCCAAGCACTTCAGAGCATCCCTCAGCTGTTACCTGGTGTTGTGGAGGGGCTCTTTAGTCACAGCTTTCACGCCTTCCATGATGTAATTCTGGTACTTGGAGCACGAGGCCGCGTGGCTGCGCATCTTGGAGAGGAACATCTGTGCAGGCAACAATGGCACAGCACGTTAACTCCAACTACCTGCACTTCCTGCTACACTTCTAAGCAGAAGCAGCAAGCACGTAACCCAGAGCAGCTTTCTGTGCAAGTGTTAAAGCAGAAAATCCAAATACTTCAGCTGGTGAGGTGGAAAACTTTTGAGATCACAGATTAGTTAACCTGTAACTTTGCTGCCTGTACTACGTTGCACACACCCCTGCTCAGGACAGCTCACTTCCCTTAACATAAACTACATACTATTTTATACATCATACTATAGTACATAAACAAAAGCTTCCTATAAAGCCAGTTCACCTGGTCACTGAGGAGAACACAGTGTATGGAAAATAACTCAGCCTGGTATAGACTGATTGCTAATTGTTCGATCCCATTAATGAAAACTCAGATTTACAACACGGGAAGCTGAAACTCGAGACACTGCAGTTTTCTCTCAGCTGGAATGGAGATAGAATGAAGAAATGACCCAGAAATAAACAGTGAAAGTAACTGAACCCTTACCCTCACCTTAGTTTGTCTAATTATCCTTTTCCTGTTGTTCTGTCATGTGCTGTGATATTTTATTACACATTCACTTAATGTATAAGGAGCTAAGCAGCCCAGCTTCACCAAGGGAAAGGGAAACCCAGGAAGGATGTCACACAGGTGTTCAACGTGCAGGACACAACAACCCGTAAGTCCATGGAATACACCAGCCATGCAAGACAACTCTAACTCATGACTATTACAAAAAAACTAAATAAATTTCTGTTTAGGAGCCACAGCTCACTCTCTAACCCCCACAGCCACTGTTTCATTCACAAGGACGTTGCCACAGCAGCAACATTTTACTGTAATTTTGAAATCAGTCTCTTTCATTTGAAATTCAGTTTGTGAACAACAAAAAGCTGTGAAAAGAATGCCAATATTTGGGTGCTGCCTTTATCAAATACCTTTAGCACATATCAGAGTGAACATTTTGACCTGATTCTGCCGAAAGCTGAGGAGCAAGCAGTTTATTTCCCCCTAAGCAGTGTGGCTGAGCCTCAGGCACTTAATTTCCAACAACCTTCACACCTTTTTATTGCAGCCATTGCAAGTAGTCTCTGTGGTTTCAATCTGCTTTTCCAGGTCCAGAGCCCTGCTCCCAGGGGACAGGGTGCTGCGGCACACACCACACACTGGCTTTTTGGGCTTGAGACACTCCTGCAGGCAGGGCGTGCAGAACCTGAGGGGGAGAAAAATGGGCGGGCGGTGAGACAGGAGACAGCCCCCCTCGGGCACCAGCACCACACCCACTGCCCGCAGAGATAGCCGAGTCCTGAGACGTGATACCGGGGAAAGCAGCAGCCTGTTGGCACCCGGGCCGTCGTGCCCAGCGTTGGACAGGGCTCTGTGCCCTCGGTTTCCGCTGACAATCATAAAATGGTTTGGTTGGAATCGACCTTAAAGCCCATCTCGTTCCACCCCCTGCCACGGGCAGGGGCACCTTCCAGTACCCCAGGCTGCTCCAAGCCCCGTCCAATCTGGCCTTGGACACTTCCAGGGATGGGGGAGCCACAGCTTCTCTGGGCGACCTGTGCCAGGGACACCCCACAGGGAAGGATTTCTTCCCAACATCCCGTCTAACCCTGCCCTCTGGCAGCGGGAAGCCATTCCCCCTTGTCCCGGCGCTCCGTGCCCGCACCCCTCAGCAGGGTGAGGAACCGAAAGTGGAAGAACAGCACCTTCATCTCTGCCTCCGCTTTTGTTTCGTTTTCCTTTTCACGGACGCCCCAGGTCACCCCTCAGCCGCTGCCGAGGCGCAGAGCAGCCCGCGAAGCCCCTGCCCTCAGCCCCTGCCCCCTGACCGCCTCTGCCCTCAGCCCCCTCCGAGCTGCGGCTCCTCCCGAGGCCCCACAGCCCCCCGCGGGCCCAGCGCCGACCCCCTGACCCCCCCCACCGTCCGCCGGCGGGTGCTCACACGTGTCCGCAGGGGACGCGCACGGGGCTGTCGAACACCTCGAGGCACACGGGGCAGGTGAGGCGGGACAGCGGGTCCTGCCGCCGCTCCGGGGGCCGCGACGAGCCGCCCGCCGCCATCTTCCGCCGCGCCGCCAGAGGGCGCACTGCGCACGCGCGGCCCCGCCCCGCCCGGGGCGGGATGGACCGCGGTGGGCGTGGCCATGCAAATGAACGTGTCGCGGCTGGTGGGCGCGGTCACACATCGTGGGCGTGGTCGCTGCGGTGGGCGTGGCCCGACGCGGTGGGCGTGGCCCCGGTGCCCGTTCCCGGCGGCGGCCACAGGGCCGTGTTGCGGCCCCAGCGCGGCGCGAGCCCCGCTCCCGGCACCGCGCGGGCCCCGCGGCCGGTTCCGCCACGGCCCCGCAGACGTTCCACGGCCGCTCCATCTCCCGCAGCCTCCCCTGGGGGGGCGGTGCTGAGGGCCCCGCCCCGTCCCGCTGACGTCCCGCGGCGGAAGCGCCGCCACCGCCGCCGTTCGGTTCCGGGTCGGCGCCGCTGCGGCCCTGCCCGAGCCGTGAGGGCGGGCGCTCCCTGTTCCTGCGGGGCACCGGGCGCTGCCGGCGGGTCCCGGCGGAGCGGAGCGGGGCGGAGCGGAGCGGTGAGGCTCGGGGCAGACCGCGGCGCGGGGGCTCGGCCGGCCGGCCGGGCGCAGCGCGGGGCGGGCGGGGGCGGCGGCGGCTCCCGGGGCCGGGGCTCGGCGGGCCCTGGGGAGGCCCCGGCGGTTCACCGAGGGCTCCTCGCCCCGGCTTTGCAACAGGTGCCCGGGCACCAGCTGGGGCCGAGCGGGCCCCGCCCGCCCGCAGCGCTCGGCGGTGCTCGGGGCCGTTGGCAGTCGTTGTGTCCGGGAGCGCTGTCGGGTGTGGGGAGACAGCCTGGCGGTCCCGCTGCCCTCGGCCGCGCTGGGAGCAGCGGGTGTGCACCTCGGGAGGAGGGTGTGCCTCAGTGCCCGCCCCTGGTTCTCCCCTGCTGCTGTCAGGGTTTTTGTGCAGCTGAGTGATCCAGCGTGGTCGCACAGTTGGGTCCCTCGGGTGAGGTTTGGACCCTGGAGATGGGGAGGAATATTCTCTTGTCCTGCCGGCAGACACTGGACTCTGACCAGGACTTCGCTATTCTTGCGTCTCCAGGAAATCTTGAGGTTCTCAGTCAATAATTTGCAGCAGAAAACAGCCTCGTTCCTCGCTGTGCTCTGTCACCAGTGCCTATATTCGATCCTATATTTATCCGCGCCTGCTGCACCGCGCGGCTCCCGAGCCTGTAACCATGGCTGTGCTGCCGGGGGGCTGGGACGGAGCCCGGGGGGTTTGCTCTGTCCTGGTTTGCAGTTCGGTCCTGTGAGCCCTGACCTGTGTGCAATGCCCGGGGCAGAGGCAGGGCTGGCAGGGCCTTCGGGAGCTGCCGGCTGTGAGGCCTTGGTGAAGGACTTTTCATCTGGGAACTCTCCTGACCCTGACATTTCTCACGTGTAACCGACTGCTTTGTTTGGGGGGAACTGGCAGTGGGGGTGGTGGAACTCCTACTTCTGACTCCGGTTCCTCGTCAGCACGGGATCACTCCGTGTCCTGGGGGTGTTTCGGTGACGTGCCAGACAAAGATCTCTCTCTGCAAGTCTCCTGTGCAGCTCTTCTTGCCAAGGAACAGGCTCTGCTGTCTTTGTCCACAGATCCATCCTGCACAACTGAGGGAGGAGAGCCTGCTCCTGGCCCTTATGCTCAGATGTTAACTTAGCACTCCCCATCTCCTGTGATTCACAGCCTGTCTCTTGACACTAGCACCGTGTGCCTGGGAGCAGAAACCGAACTGCTACTTTCCCCACACGGGGCTGGCATTGAGCACAGCCTTTCATCAGGGAGTGTTAACTGCTAGGCTGGTGGTTTTGTTTGTTTGTTTTCCAGGCCTCTCGGTTGTTGGTATTTTGCGTTTTGTCTCCTTTCATTCAGTTAATTTTGCTCTTAGCACTGATTTCCACTGTAACAGGAGTGGGGGGAATTGATCACGGTTCTAGCAGCTATTAATACTGGGTGAAAAGACTTCTCTGAAGTGCAGTTTCAGGCTGACTACAGTTGAAACACTGCACTGATTTCTCCCACCTCCCATCAGTTCAAGGGCTGGATTGTCTTTTAGGTGGAGAACAAAGCCTGTGGTCTGCTTTTTGATCACGAGTTCTTCGGGCAATCAAGGTGGAGTCGGTTGGCCTGTTAATTACCTCTGTTTTGGCAAAGCAGCGTTTGTTAGCTTCTTTTGTCACCAGCTCCTTCAGCGCAGTGTGTGAGCTCAGCGAGGTGAAAATGTAGATCAGGGTGTATCCCTGCCAACAAAAGCGCACGCTGGAAACGCTTAAATGTTTTTGCTCGGTTTCAATAAAGCAGTTGAAGGTGGCAGGTGTAGCTTTTTTGCCTAAAAGACGACAGTTGTGTTTGCAGCTACCAGCATTCAGCTGAAACTTGGGCTGTGGTTTGCAGAGTAGAGGCGGTCCTCTGGAGGTGGCTGCAGAGCTGCCCCAACACGGGGCTGGCCGTCTAAAGCCTAGAAAATGCTAGAAATCGAAAGGCATTTATTATTATTTACTAATAAACCTGCTCAGTTTAGAGGCAATCCTGTGCTGTGAGAGGGGAAAAAAAGTAGACGCTTTACTCGATGAGCAAAATGAAACTTCTCTGTGGAATTTTTTTAAACTTTGTATCACTGTGCACGGGGGAAAAAAAAAAAAAGGGGGGGGGGCAACAACTCCCCCCCAGTGACTCTTTAAAGTAGTGTTTGTATAAGTTGTGTGAGCTGAAGGGGAAAAATAAAATGGTGAGAAGAGATTCTAAAGACTCATCCTTCTCCTTGCAGTTTTTTGCTGTGAGTTACTTCTCCCTGGGTTCCCAGAGCCAAGGAAGCCTCAGTGTGGGCTGGAGCTTGCCCAGCTCTGCTGTACCGAGCTCTCAGTGTTGCCTGGTGGTGCTGACTTGGGCAGGGACCTGGGAGAGGAGCAGGGAGTGACAGTGAGAAGCGGGACACCAGCATTTCTGTGGCCGCTCACGCTTTTCCCGAGCCCTGGAGAGGCTGCTGTGGGAGCTGCTGCTCTGTGAGAGCAGGATTGCAGAGCCCCGTGGGGCAGGGAGATGCTGTGGACATCTGGGGTGCAGGCACCTGGGGTGACTGGTCCTTGTTTCCAATTTCTATTCCAGGAGAGTTGCCACTGCTGAAGATTCTTGATGCCAGACACTCAACCTGCTGCCAAATAGCCATGACAGAGACGAGGTAGCTGCCCCAGCGCGAGGGAAACGCTGATTTCAATGGATACAAAATACAAAGACGATTTATTTCGGAAGTATGTACAGTTCCATGAGTGCAAACTGAACGCCTCTGACAACAAGCAGCGTCCCATTAACGATGAGTACTTGCGAGTGGCAGCAGCGGCCTTACTTTGCCTTCCCAAAATCGATCCCTTTTATAGATTCCGGTTGATTAAATTTTACGAGATGGCTGAAAACTCACTGAGATCTGTGAAGTCCTCGAGTTTACATTGTCTCCACAGCGCATTCAACATGCTCGAGACAGTTGGAATTAATCTCTTTCTGTACCCCTGGAAAAAGGAGTTCAAAAATATCAAGGTAAGACATTTTTTGTGTAGCCGCAGTGAGAACATGATTTGTTTTGCTTTCTGTTAACACGTTTCATGCAGTTCCTTTAAAGCCTTCTTTTTTATTTTTTTCTGTTCATTTACATGATGTATGTATTTGTCTATATACAGTTGGTAAACAGAAGCCATAGGAAAGTTTCTATGTAAAATAAGTGAACTTGTGCTGGTGAGAGTATCCCAAGTACAAGTACTACCTGCAGTTACAATGTGTATAAAATAGAAAAAGATTTAAGGGTTTTTTTTGCCCCCTGGTCTGCCCTGCTACACTGTTTTATTTCTACTTGGAGATGCTTTCATGAAGATGAGCCCTTGAGTTGGATTTAATTTCACTCAGAGTTAGATTTGTGTCTTGCCACAGCTCTTAGTGGACTCAAGTAATAAGCCCAGTGCATGTGTTTCAAGTGGATGTTTTGCTGAGCTTCCCACAGATTGTATGATAATGGTGAAGGAACTTCTCCAAAAGAATTGCTTTCAGAATATCTTTTATCTGCTTGTCAGTTCTCAGTTCATGAAGTTTTGATTGTAATGTACTTTCAAATGTATCTCCCTACACCAGGATCTCAGAGAGAGAAGAGGGAACTCACACACTGCTGGGCTTGGGTGCTGGAAGTCACATAGGGAGCTCTCTGCTGTTGAGTTTTCTGTTTTATCTTTTACTTGTTCTTAGATGCTTATTCAAAGCTGCTGCAATGTTTCAGCAATGAATGCTGCACCTGAGTTACGAGAACAGTTTTGAGGCCTGAAAGCTGGAGAGATCCACTGCTGGGATTGGTGTCTGCAGTCCTTGGCAGTTGTTGTGTGCACTAGCAATGGGTATTTTGGTTTGTTTGTCTTAAAAAGACAGTTTCCCTGTTTAGCAGAGAATTTGGACAGTATTAGAACATTTGAGAGTTCTCTCTTTCCCCAAGGGGAAACTGCCTTTCTTCAGGATCTCTCCATAAGTCTTCGTTAGGCTTAAGTTCTGGTGCAAAGATGCTGCTCCTGCCTACAGTCCAGACCAGGCTGAACTGGGTTAAGCATGTCCTTCATGTGTGCCAGATGCTGAGGGTATTTCAGCTTGCAGAAACACATGTCTCTGCTTTTGGGGCTCTTTTAGTGGAAGTTTTTTGAATTAATATTAAATTAAATAGAACTGATGTTTGAAACTGTTTAGTAACAGTGCAGAAAAAAATGTGCACCTCAAGTCTATTTAAAGCTGAACTGAAGAGAAGTTTGACCCTCCTGCAGTAACTCTGGGTTCCTCTTGCGTCCAGCTTGCCCCTGGCTGGGGCAGCTCCCAAAATTCTGGCATTTTTGCCTTTCATGGTAGACTTCCTATAATGCAGGCATGTCCGGTATGCATAAAAGTTAATGTCAGTGCATAGCAGAGTGATTTAAATCACCAGGGAGGACATTATGCTAATCAGGATTTTAATTTGAATGAAAGCTATCCTACTTTGAATTTGCCTCATGTGGAATTTCCATCTGCTGAACAGGAGGGCTGCAGAAATCGAGCT